TAGTCTTAGTCTCTATCTCTCGTATTTGTAACTTGAATTCTTTTACTTGTATTTCTAATTCTCTAATTGTTAGATGTAATTCTCTGCTTTCTATACTTTGATCTTCGCTATTATTTCCTAACGTTATCTTATGTGTCATGTTTAATTTTTCGAGACAGACTATATAATAGGTTATACTGCATAATAAACACTGAGTTCTCTTATCTTTAGCTGGAAACCAATTACAATAACTGCATCTAGTGGTATCAAATCCTAGTCCTATTTGAAAATTATGCTGACATTCAGTATCTGCGTTGCATTCCATCATAAAGAAAGTATCATGAGAATGAGTCGTTCCTATTTCTTGGTTGAGTTGTCTTAAAAGATTATCTACATCTATATCACTTTCTGAATCACTATCTGAACTTATGGCTTCTATTTGATATTCATAATTACTGACTATGCTATACACTTCTAAATCATCACTATTTATGCTAACTATATCTTCTTCTAAGTCTTCTATTATATGTAGTCTTTCTATCTGTTTATTAGTATTAGGTATTTGTCTTTTTGGGTAGGCTTTTGTAAAATGATTGGGTTCTCTACATATAAAACAATTGCATTTTTTACTGTTGGATTTTCTAACATATCTTTGTTTTCTTTTGTCTCTTTCCTCTTCGGGTAGTCGCTTATAATTTATCCTATTAAAAGTTCTACTCTTTCTTATGAATTTTTGTTTTTTTCATGGTTTTCTATATTTTTTCATCCATTATTTTTCTTTTTTATATTTTTCATATTTTTTGTATTTTTTCCTATTATATTTATCTTCATATTGCTGCAGAGTATATATTACATTGCTACAAAAATCATAATTTTATTTTTTCAAATCTTTCTGTATTTTGACTTCTATATATTTTTCTCTGAGCTTAAGAAATGTATAAACTATTCTAGGTCCTATTCCTAAAGTTCCTCTTATTTTTACTTCTCCTGCGGCTATTTTCGCTGGTAAATTTGCATGATAAACTGACCATTTATTTTCTATGTCTCTTCCTAATTCTCCAGGTAATTTTATAAAATATTTATTTCCTATTTCCTATTTCTTCATCAAAACTTTTTCCAATTCTAGCTGCTATGGCTAAGTATTCTTTACTAAAGGGTACAATATATTTCCAACTTCCTAATGTTATCTGATCTAACTCAGTTAATGCTATGCTTTGAGTGTGATCATTTCTTTTGGAAGGGTCATATCCTATAAGTATTTCTTTTATAAAACTAATAAAATTCCATGGGTTATCTCCTAGTTCTTTAAACTGTTTAATTATCTCCTCATATTTTCCTTTAAAAGTTAGATAAATATTATAAGCTGAATCTCCTAAAAGTGTCTCCATATATTCCCACATATCCGTTGATTCAAAGGGATTACTCATCCATGCCTTTACCGCATCTTTTTCCTATTTTTCTATCACTTCTTGCCATATCTGAGGGTCGAATCTGGCTAAATCTAAAAGGGTTCCTTAATTATTGGCTGGCTGTAATTGTATGCTCATATCTGGTTGTCTACGCTTTTCATGAAATCTATAGCTTTTATTTGGATTTGCTTTACTGCGTCCTGAACTAGCTAATGGTCTTCTTCCTCCTACTACATAATGCATTGGTTCTACGGGATCTTCTACAGTTGGTTGTGGGTTACTGGTTCCGGTGCTTTCTGTGTTCATGTAAAAAGTATCTTCTAAATTAGATTGTTTTGGTATTCTAAATATCTTGCTAGGATGTATTTTATCTTATATGATATCATCTACATATTCTGTATGAAATTCTTGATCTAGAAATGACACTGCTTCATCATGGGTATCTCCTCTAACTAAATATTCAAAATATCTGGTATCTAGTATTTTATTCATATCGGTTAGAGTGAAATTTTCTAAATCTATCTCATCAATATTATATATTTTATTTTGTGATATTATTTTTTCCTCTGTCATTACATAAAGTTGATTTATGTCACTACGATTGTCTTGATTTTCTTCCCTATCTATTCTACTAAATTCATCATCTTCAAATTTTTCTGGTGCTACATACGTAGATTAAACCGGTCTAGTTAATGTCATTACAGATCCTGTTTTGATTATTTGATCTATTAATTTTTCAAATGTTAATGGGTAAATTATTTATAAATAAATCAAATTGACTTGATAATTGTAACTTGTAATTCATCACACTCATATTTAAAAAATAATTGACAAATATGATTTTTTTTTTTTTTTTTAAAAAAAAATTCAGAATAGAATAATTTCCCGTAGGTTAACGAAATTTCTATTGAATATTTCTATGATGTGCGAGCAGGACAACACTTTCACTAGTTTAAAAGGGTTAATTTTTTTTAATTGTGTCTGCTTGTTTTATGTAGTCCTCTTCTCTAAGCAGTGACGTCCCAATCAGGAAAAAAAAAAACTGTTTGTCGTTTGTACAATGCTCCCTTTTTCACTTCTATTTTGTTGAGTTTTTTTTTCAAAAAAATTTGACCGTGGTTAATGTTAGTGTTTATAAAAATTATATTAAAATATATGAGAATATGTGAAATGAGAGTCTATTTTGAGCCATTATGTAGATTAAACCGGTCTAATTAACGTCACTACATATCTTGTTTTGATTATTTGATCTATTAATTTTTTAGATCATAATGGGGGTGTTTGGCAATCAGAGGTTGAGGTTATTATAGTCTCTTTTAGAAAATTAGCCCAAAAGCTAGCACTGTAGCACCTTTTTACTGATTTTCAAAAAAAATAAAAAATAAAATAAAAAATAAAAAATAAAAAATAGGCTGCTGCCCGGACAGTGTAGGCACAGCCTACACTGTCACAGCCGGACAGTGTTACAGCAAGGGCAAAATGGTTTATATCAATTTTAAAAATAAAAAGTTAGGGATAAATCTATCATTTTAAATTTAAACATCATTTCAACACACTTTCCAATATAACAACTCAACTAAAAATTCATCTCATCTTCCCAAACACAAAACTAAAATAGCCTATTAAAATAGTCAAAAAACCAAATAGCCTACTAAAATAGCCACTTGCCAAACGAGACCAATGAGTAAATAATTTATAAAAAAATCAAATTGACTTGATAATTGTAACTCATGATTCATCACATTCATATTAAAAAAATAATTGACAAATATAATTTTTTTTAATCAACGATCCATACATAACCTTAAAAAATTAAGAATAATGCTTGGGACCCCCTTTTTTGGTTCACCCCCTCACCCTCTTTGCCACGTGGCGGGTGGTGATTAGAGGAGCAGGAAAAAAAAGAAAAAGAAAAAGAAAATGTAACCAATGAGAGAGAGAGGGGGTCAAAGGGGGTCGTCCCTTATGACTTGGGACTATCTATGGATGCCATAATAGATTTCACACATAGGACATTCATTCACGTAAACAATTATCATTTCAGAAATCATAACTTATGAAATCAAATTTGGAATATAATTCATATGAACATATCTTTACAATAACGTTACTCACAGTGGGCTTCTAGAAACGGTTGGTTAGTCTTCGAGTCTTGACCTACAAACAAATGTACATAGCACAAAACATGTCTCATTATTACTCATTCATATGGCCATACCTAGCTTAGCTTATTTTTCTTCTTTTTTTTTTCCCTTTAACTTCTTATTCATTCCATGCCACATAAGTTGTTCATATTGAACCATATGCTCGAATTCAACACATATTTTCTAATTCACTTGCGTATGATGTTTCTTAGCTTATTTATCCTTAATAGTTCATAAACCATGCCTAAGAATACCCGGGAATAGTTGGGAGCGAGAATATGTACTTAAAACATCTTTTGAAAACATGCTGAAAATAAGTTATTGGCTAGAGCCAGCTTTTCGTTGCTAGAGCGAACTGAAGGCAAAAATTAAGCCCGCTCAACCCACCACTTCGTCGCTCAAGCTAGCTTTTGCAGAGTTCAAAATATTAGAAGCTCGCAATGTTAGCTCGAGCCAGCTATGAATTTTCTGGGTTTTAAAACACAAAATTTGGGCTCCAAAAATGTATGATAACTTGTTAAAGCTTGCATGGCCATTCCAAACTCATGAAAACACTTGCATAGCACTTAAAAACTTCTTTGGGTTGGTTTGGGATGTTCTAAAAAAGTATACTTTTTGACTTATTAGCTTATATGGATTGGGTTTGGGTTGGGTTTGATGTGATGTGTTAGAGAAGTGATGTGATTTAAATAAGATGATGTGACTTAAATATGATAGTAACTTTTTCACTTTTTGTATTATTTAGGCCAAGTTTGGCAACCCAAAAATAATCCATCTTTTTATCTTTTTATTTTTTTTTCATCACATCACCACTCTACTTTTCTACATATCTTTTCCTAAAAAGATAAAAAGTATACTTATTTAAATCATCTCAAATAACCCTTTAATTTATGTCAAACCAATCTTTAATCCCGTCACTATGAATTTCCGTCCCTCTAAAGACAAATGGGGCTATATCTTACGCACGCGGTGACATCTCAAAGCAATAATATAAACTATGGCATATATATATATATATATGGGAATAGCTTATGTCCAGTCTTTAATCAGACTGCATCATGTTATTGGATTCATAGAGGTCCACCACGGGTCTCGTTTTGATAATCTGACCGTTCAATGTGTAGAACTCGTCGAGTACTATATGTCTGTAAAAAATCATATTGATCGGATATCGATAGCTATGTGATTAAAATAGATTTTTGTCAATCGTTAATTTATTCACCGTCTATTTTTTTATACAAAACTGATTTGATCACATAGCTATCGATATCCGATTAACGTAATTTCTTAATATTATATAGTGCTCGATGAGTTCTACACATTGAACGGTTCAAATTATCAAAACAGAACCTGTGATGGACCCCCACAAACCCAACAGCACGATCCAATTCGATTAAGGACTCAACAGAAGCTATGCCCCATATATATATAATTCAGCTACTTTATAGTTTTCATAAAACAACCTATCGATCAATTGCAAAACACATTTATTGGCTTTTGAGGTCTGGTCTGATCTGAGCTGATCTGATACAAAATGTCTGATGAAGTGGTTCTTGTGAGTTTCTGGACAAGTCCTTTTGGTCTGAGGGTGAAAATTGCCCTTGAAGAGAAGGGTATTGAGTACCAGTACAAAGAAGAGGACTTGTTCAACAAAAGCTCTTTTCTATTGGATCTGAACCCAGTTCATAAGAAAGTTCCAGTGTTAATTCACAATGGTAAAGTCATATGTGAATCCCTACCCATACTTCAATACATTGATGAAGTTTGGAAGGACAAATCTCCATTGTTGCCTTCTGATCCTTACCGGAGAGCACAGGCTAGGTTTTGGGCTGATTTCATTGACAAGAAGGTTGGTTCATTTTTAGCAATTTTTTTTTTTTCTTTTTTTCTTTTTTTCATTTCAGTTTGAGTTTTGATGCCGCTTAGTCTGAAAAATATGCCGAAACCGATGGAGGCAGGTTTTGATTGGTGTTTTCATAATTATATATTCTATCTGTCCGAAATTATTTATTCATTTTTGGCATTTATGACTTTTAATTGGCTTAATAAATAATATACTTCTGTTAAAAAAAATTATTATTTTTTTGATAAATTAAAAGATCTCAATTAATTCTTGTAGAAAAAATGTTCAAAATCGCTGAAAAACTAATAAATTGAAAAACAATTTTTTTTAGATGTCTGGAGTAGTGAAAATGGCCATACAATTTGAGATGGAGGGAGTCACATCTTCTGTGATTCTTTGTCGTAAAGTGATACGCAAGTTTTATACATTTTTTCATTGAAAAAATTATGCACCTTGAAAAAGTATCCTCAAAATGAAGTGTATGAAGTAAATTCAAATTTGCTCCACGCATTTCATCTTCATTTAATTTTTCTAGTATTGCTAATTATTATTATTTTTTCCCAACTAATTTGTTGAAACTGTGTGACCTGGCACAGATTTATGCAGCATGTAAGAAGGTATGGATGAGTAAAGGAGAAGATCAAGAGACAGCCAAAAGAGAACTGATAGAGATCTTTAAGTTGCTAGAGGGAGAGCTTGGTGACAAGCCCTACTTTGGTGGTGACAACTTTGGGTTGGTTGACATTGCACTTGTCCCATTTTATAGCAGGTTTTACACATTGGAGAAATTTGGAAATTTCAGCATAGAAGCAGAGTGCCCCCTTTTGGTGGCATGGGCTAAAAGGTGTATCGAAAAGGAAAGTGTGTCCAAGTCTCTTCAAAACCCAGAAAAACTCTATGAATTTGTTGTCAAGCTTAATAAGATGTTAGGAGTAGAGTAAAGTAGAGTAGCCTGCCTTCGACAGTATTTATATGTTTAGTCTCCAATTAGCATGGTAATAAAGAAGTTATAGTTGCTCAATTGAAGTTATTTTGATAGCATTATTGACATTGTAATCAAGAAGTTATATTTGCACAATGGAAGTTATTTTGATAACATGGTCTATATCGATGTTTTTATGAGTCATATGACATGTAATGATACAGGATTTTCTTTCCTCAAATTCCTATATCTCTCTGTCTTAATACATTCTCAATTGGTTTGTTGCTAAAATTTCTATGTTTCTATCGATGTTTCTAAATTTGAGATTCATATCTTGAGGTTCACATATGCCTCAAAATTCTTATATAATTCCATAGTAGGAAGTGCATTGAGACAAGGGCCGCATGTAATAAATGGACTACATTTGCTAATTGTATATCAAGTTCAAATTGACATTTATATATGCATTACTATACTAAACATCACATTATAGGGTAGATCCCACCATTAAAACTCTCCAAGCTCCAAAATTAGAACTCTCAATATTTTTGTTATTAAAGTATAACTAACATAAACGAAACATTCCCATAAGCAAACACAACCTCTACAGAACAAATGGTAAAAAGAAAAAGGGTCCCAATATAGGCAAAAGAGAAGAATGAAAACACTATGTCATAACACTCCAATTAAACACTCTTTTAGGGATTTACTTAGCCTCAAGTTTCTTTTTGCTCCCCAATAAGAAGTCATAGAGCTTGTGGTGGTCAGGAAATGACTTGGACACACTCTCCTTTTCCATACACCTATGACGCCAAGCAACAAGTTTAGGGCACTCTACCACAATCCTGAAGTTGCCAGGCTGCTCAATTGTACAGAAAAAGTTGAAAAATGGGATTAGTTGTAAGTTTGCGGAAAAATAATTTGTTCTAAAAAATACTTTTTCAAAGAAACACCACCTGATTACACAATCTAAAATACCTTCTCCAAATGAGTTATTGATAATACCTCACCAAGCGATCCAAGTGTCTCGCCTCCAAAGTGATTCACCTTGGACCCTCTTTGATTTATTTGTGTGTATATATTTTCTACAGACCTTAAAAATTCTGATGGCCAATTTTTGTATCAAATACATCTGATATATGAAGTTAAAGAATTACCCATATATGAGAACAACGCAAACTTTGTATCTCTGCAGTATTCATAGCAATTTGATCTTGTTCAACTTCTTCAAAAACTGAAGAAGATCTTCTATTACGCTTCAATCAAATGAAAGTTGTGTGAATCAGATTATTAATGTCAATCAAATCAAGTATTTTTCAATTAAAACAACAAAAAGTGTCTTTCTTTATTCAAGTATAACATAAACAGAACATTCCCCTTAAGCAAACACAACATCTAGAGATTGAAAGGTAAGAGAAAAAAACAAAAAATAAAGGGGGTCTCAAAAGAGACAGAAGTAAACTGTGAAACAGTATGTCACAATACCACAATCGAACATTCTTCTAAAGATCTACATAGCCTCAAGTTTCTTTTTGAGCCCCAAGCAGAAGTCATAGGCCTTGTGCTGGTCAGGAAGTGACTTGGACACACTCTCCTTTTCCATACACCTATGAGCCCAAACAACAAGGGAGGGGCACTCTGCCATAATGCCAAAGTTGCCAAACTGGTCACACACACCCAAAAAGTTATAGGATGGAATCAATGCCACATCAGCAAAGCCAAATGTCTCCCCCCCAATGTAAGGCTTGTCTCCAAGTTCTCCTTCCAAACAATTTGAGATGGAGGGAGTCACATCTTCTGTGATTCTTTGTCCTGAAGTGATACATTCGCAAGTTTTATACATTTTTTCATTGAAAAAACTATGCACCTTGAAAAAGTTATCCTAAAAATGAAGTGTATGAAGCAAATTCAAATTTAGTGTAATGTGAGTCATACCGAGAATAAATTTGCTCCACGCATTTCATCTTCACTTAATTTTTCTAGTATTGCTAATTATTATTTGTTTCTTCCAACTAATTTGTTAAAACTGTGTGACTTGGCACAGATTTATGCAGCATGTAAGAAGGTATGGATGAGTAAAGGAGAAAGATCAAGAGACCGCCCAAGGAGAACTGATAGAGATCTTTAAGTTGCTAGAGGGAGACCTTGGTGACAAGCCCTACTTTGGTGGTGACAACTTTGGGTTGGTTGACATTGCACTTGTCCCATTTTACAACAGGTTTTACACATTGAGGAAATTTGGAAATTGCAGCATAGAAGCAGAGTGCCCCCTTTTGGTGGCATGGGCTAAAAGGTGTTTCGAAAAGGAAAGTGTGTCCAAGTCTCTTCAAGACCCAGAAAAACTCTGACTTTGTTGCCAAGATGTTAGGAGTAGAGTGAAGTAGAGTGGCCTGCCTTTGACAGTCTTTATATGTTTAGTCTTCAATTGGCATGGTAATAAAGAAGTTACAATCGTACAATTGAAGTTATTTTGACAGCATTATTGGCATGGTAATCAAGAAGTTATATTTGCACAATTGCAGTTATTGTGATAGCATTATTGGCATGGTAATCAAGAAGTTATATTTGCACAATTGAAGTTATTTTGATAGCATGGTCTATATCGATGTTTCTATGAGTCATATGACATGTAATGATACAGGATTTTCTGTCCTCAAATTTCTATGTCTCTCTGTCTTAATATATTCTCAATTATTAAATCATATCTTGAGTTTCACATATGCCTCAAAATTCTTATATAATTCTGTAGTAGGAAGTGCACCGAGACAAGGGCCGCATATAATAAGTGGACTTCATTTGCCAGTTGTATATCAAATTCAAATTGACATTTATATATGCATTACTGTGCTAAACTGTATAGCCATATATACTTGAGGACATGAACTACTTGTTCTTTAATTTTCATCAGTACATTTTCTTTGGACCAAGAAATGAGCAGTATCCTCGAAGGAAATGGAAGTAAAAGAGATGTTTCATTTGTAATTATATTGCAATTTACAGACTTTTCCATCACAAACAGATTAGTGTCCATACAAGGTACTTGGCCGAGGGAAGAAACATTACTTGGCAGTGGGAGATTTCGTTAGCTTTAAGAACATGCGTAGTTGTTTGTTCAAAGCATCCACAGTGCAAATTACAGAATTATCCATCTATGAGAGCAATGCAAAATTTGTATCTCTGCATTTCTTAGCAATTAGATCTTGTTTAATTACTTCAAATACTGAACAAGATCTAATATGCTTCAATAAAATGAAAGTTGTGTGAATCAGATTATAAATATCAATCAAATCAAGCATTTTTTCAATTAAAACAACAAAAAGTATCTATTTTTATTCAAAGGAAAGTGATTAACTCTAAAATTAAAACTCTAATATGAGTTCTAGTAATGTGGCATATAGACCAAAAAAAAAAACTCAAAAAACAAAAAAAAGAAACACAAAAAAGAAGAAAGCATAAAATCACATCATATGGTGAGTCCCACAATTAAAGCTCTTTTAAAGCTCCAAGCTCCAAAATTAAAACCCCCAATATTTTTGTTATTCAAGTATAACATAAACAGAACATTCCCATGAGCAAACACAACATCCAGAGAACATGTGGTTAAAAGAAAAAGGGTCCCAATATAGACAAAAGAGAAGAATGAAAACACTACGTCATAACACTCCAATTAGGGGTTGTTAGGTATATTTTTTTGTCTTTTTATAAAAAGATGTGAAAAAAAAATAGAGAAGTGATGTGATAAAAAAAGATAAAAATATAAAAAGATAGATTATTTTTGGGTGGCCAAACTTGTCCTAAACACTCTTCTACAGATCTACTTAGCCTCAAGTTTCTTTTTGCTCCCCAATAAGAAGTCATAGAGCTTGTGTTGGTCAGGAAGTGACTTGGACACACTCTCCTTTTTCATACACCTATGACCCCAAGCAACAAGTTTAGGGCACTCTGCCACAATCCTGAAGTTGCCAAGCTGCTCAATTGTATAGAAAGCGTTGTAAAATGGGATCAGTGCCACATCCACAAAGCCAAAGGTGTCACCCCCAAAATAAGGCTCGTCTCCAAGCTCTCCTTCCAACAGCTTCAAGCACCCAATGAGGTCATTCTTTGCTGCTTCTTGGGCTTCACCTGTGGATGACCACATCAACTTCGAAACACTACATATCTGTAGAACATACAATAATTGGTAAGTAGGCACAATATTTCAAACAATACTTAACAGTGGTTATGTAAAACAGATATGGAAGAGTTAGGGCTCACCTTCTTGTCAACAAAATCAGCCCAGAACCTGGCTTGAGCTCGCTGGTGAGGATCACAAGGCAACAATGGAGATTTGTGGTTCCATACTTCATCGATGTACTGAACAATGATGAGTGACTCGCACACCGGTTTGCCGTTGTGGATCAACACTGGGACTTGCTTGTGAACAGGGTTCATCTTCAAGAACAGTGGACTCTTGTTGCTCAGGTCCTCTTCTCTGGACTCATACTCTACCCCTTTCTCAGCCAAGGCTATTTTCACCCTCGTCGCAAAAGGGCTAACCCAGAAGTCCAAGAGAATGACTTCGTCCGCCATTGATGATGATGTGTAAAAACTCAGTGAAGATGGAAGATTGACTGAAGAAGAAGAGACAAGGAAGGTGGGTTTAGCGAATTGTGTTTAAGGTGTTTGTTTTAATGCCGAAGGAGGGAGGTTGGAGCACTCGCTCGGCAGGTAGGTTAATTTGACTTTTTGATTAAATTAATTATAAAAATATATAACAGTCTAAAAAATTAATAAGATAAATTGTTATATTTAAATTATAATTTTTTTTTTATAACAAAAGTTTAAAAAATAAAAAAAAATAATACAAATGAACAAACCATGGGCAAACAACCCATAGTTCCTACCAAACCCACCATCTCTTATAAATTAGGAAACCATAAAATTTAGTGAAAGCAACATTTCTTAGAACTTGGAGAAAGTGGATGGATTTATTAATGAAAAGAATGTGTGAGAGTGAGGGAGGGAGAGAGAGAGAGCTAGCCTCGGAGAAGATCTATAAAATGCACCTAGTGGTCATGCACATTTTGAAGGCTAAGCATAAACCATATACATCCAAATAGAGGGAATTCTTGTGGAAGAAGAGGAGGAGGTTGAGGTTGCATATTTTCCTACCATTTCATTATTCCATTTCAATCCTACTACTAAGTAAGAAAACCCTCTCAACCCTCTCATTTTTTTTATATAATTGAAATTTTTCCGATTATGTACATTTGATACATTGTCTAAAACTGTGTTGAGAATAATCTGTCTTGAATCTACAAAAAAAAAAGATTAGTGTGTGTAATGTGAAAAAACATAATTGATTAGTGTGTATAATGTAATATTTTGACTTTTAAATTTTTGGATAAATTACAAATACATTCTTTGAGATTTGCTTAAAATATGAATTGTTCTTTATAGTTTTAGAAATTAAATTTCATCTCTTAAAATTTCTAATTTCATAACAAATCCCTCCTTTATTAATAAATCATCAAATCAATTAACAGTTTTTAATGATGTTAGAAATATGTTTCAATTAACAATTCGGGTAATTTTATTATTGTATAGGACAACAATTATGAATTTTATATTTTTAGTTAATGTTAAATAAAAAAATTTAACAAGGAGGTGTTGTAATTTTCCAAACCATAGAAGGCAATTTTTACTTTAAGCAAATCTCAAATGGTGCATTTGTAATTTATCCTAAAATAAAATGTTAAATTTGGATTCTTACTTAAATTATGTTGCTATAATTGGAATGAGACCAATATTCATTCCTTAAACTTTGCATCATTTATTAAGTTATAAAATAAAACTACACATTAATTTTTTTTTTCAAATTATATTGCTACAATTAAATGAGATCAATATTCACATGTGTACAAGGGGGTGTTGTAATTTTCCAAATCATATGGGGCAATTTGTACTTTAAGCAAACCTCAAGGGGTGTATTTATAATTACCCTAAAATAAAATTTCAAATTTGGATTCTTACTTAAATTATGTTGCTATAATTGGAATGAAACCAATATTCATTTCTTAAATTTTGCATCCTTTATTAAATTAAGTTCTCCTCCCTCCTCCCCCCTCCCTCCTCCTCCTCCTCCTCCTCCTCCCTTCTCTTCTTCCTTCTTCTTCTTCTTCTTCTTCGTTCTGCAAAACTAGGGAAAAAAGAAGAAAAAAAAAAAAATCGACACGAAAACGACGTCATTTTGGTGTCGAGCCAAATGTGGAGCCATGAAATTCGAGCTACGTAGCATGATCGTTGGAATTTACCCTAAAATAAAATTTCAAATTTGGATTCTTAGTTGAATTATGTTGCTATAATTGGAATGAGATCAATATTCATTCCTTAAATTTTGCATCCTTTATTAAATTATAAAATTAAATTTCAAATTAATTTTTTTTTTCAAATTATATTGCTACAATTAAATGAGATCAATATTCACATATGTCATAATATACATGTGTTCAAATTATTAATTGTTATTAAATTGTTATTTCTTTTTTTGTTTTAAATTTTATAAAAATAAAGACTTGAACAATAATATTTTTTCATATAATTTTTTTTTTTGACAAGAGAACAAAACATAATTTTTTTAATACTTACTAAATATGGTGAATTTTGTTAGATTTTTTTTTTTAAAAAAAATCTCAATAGTTAATTAAAGAAATTAAAATAAAGGATAAAAATATCAAAACTTTGGCTAAAATAAATTAGAAAGAAACGTTAATTTTTTTTTTATTAAAAGTGATAGTTCGCTAAACTTTTTTTATTTAAAAAAAGAGGGTTATAAGTGATAATTTATTGTTCATCTAAAATTATTTTCAGATTAAATGAAAATACCATATTAAATTTTCGTCTTACCTTTTTTTTTATTCAAACACTTTTATTTTGTAAGAAATTTGTTTTTATTCTATTTGATATTATATTGTGATTTTTAAATTAAAAATAATTTCTAAAAAATCATATTTAAATTATTTATACCATTATAAAAAGTAAATTTTTTTAATATCAACTTAGTGGTAGTTTGAAAAGTGCTAAATAAGTATACTTTTTTAATTTTTATGAAAATTCATACAGAAAAATAAAGATGTGATGTAACTTAAAAAAGATAATTAAGTATACTTTTTTTACTTTTTACAAAAATATATACAAAAAAATAAAAATGTGATGTGACCTAAAAAAGATAATTAAGTATATTTTTTTTAATTTTTACGAAAATATATACAAAAAAGTAAAGATGTGATGTGACTTAAAAAAGAAAATTAAGTAAACTTTTTTATTTTTTATAAAAAGATGTATAAAAAAATAAAGAAAATGATATGACTCAAAAAGATAAAAAAATTATATAAAAAAAATACGCTAATATAAGGGGTGCCAAATAGTGGATTAATTCCCCTCAAGTCCTATTGAAAGTAAGTCATAGGAAATAATTTTTTTGATGATTTTTTGCATATGTTATTAAAAAAGTCTACTCAAATTTAATTTGAATTTTTAAATTTTTGCATAGGTCCTCACTTGATTAAAAATTATATTGCTCAATTTAAAAAAAAAAATTAAACTTGAATTAAGTTGTTTGCGTTAAGTTCACCTAAATTTGCAATTCTAACAATGGCAGTTGAAAATTACATAACTAAATTTGTGACAAATTAAAAAATAATAAATAAATTATGATAAAATTGTGAGATTTAAATTATAAATTTTAATCTTATTTGTTTTCATAATTTACATACAAAAGTTTAATTATTTTTATAATTTTATATAAAAATATATTATTAATTTTTTACTTACCGTGCATAGTACGGATTATCATTAATAAATTACACTCCAGAACTAAAATAAATTATAATCACTTAACAGTTCCAAAGTCGTCGAAATCCCTCGTAGAATTTCGGAGATGCAATTTTTCTAATTTCTAGTATCTTCGGAAAGATCGTCATTGCGTGCGTCAAGATTTTTTGTCCATGGGCGGAGAACTTATTGGTTGGTTGTTGTGCCAAATGGTTTTATGATGGAAAATGCCCCAGTCCCCACTGCGGGTGACCCGGGTGCAGTGGATTGTGATTGGTCTGTTTATTTGTTTTTAAGGTTTCGTTTGGGAAGCTATGGTTTGAATTTTTTTTGATTATTTTAGCCACAAAAAATAAAATAGGTTATTTTAGTCATAATAAACAAAATATCACATCTAATCCATAATCATTACATTCTTCTCTCACATAAAAACTCAAAAAAGTTAAAAAGTCAAAAAGTCCTTCCCAAATCAAACTTTTAAACCCAGGCTAAAATAACTAAAAAAGCTAAAAAATTAAAAAGTTAACCCACTTCCCAAACGGAAGCTAAGTTGGTTGTTGTGTGAAAAATACCCGAGTCCCCACTGGGGGTGACCAGGGTCCAATGAATTGTGACTGGTCTGTTTATTTGTTTATTTTTTGATCTAATGATCAATTTTACGTGTGTTCTCAATTTTTACGTACGGGCGGGGGATGGTGGTGGAGGTGATTGGAGACTGGGAGTCTCAATTAAAACTGTTTTATGATTAGTGATGGAAGTGAAATTTATAAATTTATATTAAATAATTAAAAAATATAAAAAAATTTATAATGAATTGTAATTACTGTGAAGTATGATCTCGTAATATTTCAAGATTAATAAATAATTTTTCATGAGTGTGGGTCTAATTTTTAAAAAACACTTTATTGCAGTCATGTAGAGGTGTAAATTTGGTTCGGCCTGGCTCATGTCGGGTTTTGCGGACTCTCGTCAAAATTCGGTGCCAAGCCAACTCACGGGCTAGAAAATTAAGTCCAGACCTAAGGAGTATTCGGGCCTTGGGCGAGTATGAACAAATTTTTTTTTTCAACTAAAATTTTATTATTTTTTACAAAAAAAGACACTGGACCTAGGGTCGGGGCTTGAATGGGCCTTAAGCGCGGGTCGGGGCAGGCTTCAAAGTGATGGTCCAGTCCTAGGCCTAGGGTCTCGGGTTGGGCTTGAGCCGAAACGAGGCCTAAATGGGCCGGGCTCACCCCAAACCACAGATGGGATTCAGGCTACCCCTGAACCGTGGGTTATTTTTACACTCTTAGAGTCGTGTTTGCCATGTAACTTATTTTTGAATTATTGTGTTTAAAAAATAAAAATTAAGTCTACAAATGTACCCTATTAAGAGGTACATAATGTGTCCATGGTCTATATTGCATCACATTATAAAAATAATTAATTAAATTGGTTAATTATGTTAATTTTTAATTTTTTATTATTTTTTATCTAATTTAATTTTAAATTTGAATAAAAAAATGATTAATATGAACTATTCTAATATTTTCATTAAATTTTCATCAATTGTATTATAAAAGTTTTCCTTTTATCCCCAATTTTTCTTTTCATCAAATTTGATTTAAAAAAAAATTATCTTTGATGTTTCATCTTTTTAAATTTTCATCAAATTCAAATCTGATGAATTCACAATTTGATTAAAAAAAAAAATTTTTCTTGATTTGATGAATATTTGATGAAAGGATTGTAGATGATTTTTGAATATTTTTTTGTCAAATTCAAATTTGATGAAAGAAAAAATGAAGGGTTAAAAATGTTCTAACATATTACATTAATAAAATTATATTAGAGGAAATTACAAAAAACTCTCAGGTTTTATCTTGGCAATAAATCAAATCATGAGTTTTTAATATTTTAAAATTTAAATTAAAACAATTAAAAAGTTTAGAATATTCAAAACTTTTTTAATATAATCATTTATTGTGGATCGTTTTTTTCCAAGAAAATTCTGAGAATGCAATATAGAATTTGAAGCTATAGTTTTTAAAATAAAAATTCACTACAATAAATTTTGTTTTTACACAATATATATCCGACTGACTTACAACATAACCCAAGGCAACCTCTCTCTATTTGTAATGATAAAACATACCTAGTACCTAATATATATTATGAGAAATTCTATTAACTCATAATTTTATTCTACATTTTTTTTTTTTTCTGAATTACTTTGTAGAGATGGAAATTAAACTGGTGAAGTGTGTGGTGTTTATGAGTAAAATGAATTTGAACCATTAATCGTTATTTATACATAAATTCTGAGTAAAATTTTTTAGACTTGTAGTCACTTTGCTACACTAATTACTCAAGAACGTACAAAGAATCCAAAGATGGAATTTTCCACATTGATTGAGGAAGAAAACCTAGAATATCAACGGGCCTTGACATTCTGCTGAGAAAATTATAAAAAATTAAGTTTCAGACAAAAAAGAAAATAAGTAAATTTGCAAATGTATATCCTAAATTTTGAATTTGACTGACTTCTATATGCATGATTGTTTTCGACTGTATAACCATATACTCCAATGTTGTGTAACAAATGTACTTTAATTTTGCAAACAAAATCACCTTTGGAAATTGGTGTTGCACCTCAAACATTTTCCAAGTTAAGTGGTGCTTCATTAGTGTATTTTCTTTAGTATAAAGTAAATAGAAGTACAAGAGATATAATTCAGTGGGAGATTCATCAACCAACCATTTTAACTAACTATTGTAACATATTGAAAGCATCCAAATTAGAAATTGAAGAATTACCCATTTGTGAGAGCAATGCACAATTTGTGTCTCTTCATTACAGCAATTTGATCCTGTTCAAATTCATCAAATACTGAACAAGATCTTCTAGTATGCATCAATCAAATGGAAGTTGTGCAAATCAAATTATTAATAATCATCAAATCAGATCTCTTTCAATTAAAACAAAAAAAGTTTTCTTTATTTCAAGTATTACACAAACAAACATTCCCTTTAAGCAAGCATAACATCCAGAGATTGAAAGGAAAAAATAAAATGGGATCCCAAAAGAGAACTATGAAACTGTACGACGTATAACACTTCAATCAAACATTCGTCTAGAGATTTACTTAGCCTTGAGACTCTTTTTGCGCTCCAACATTTGTGCTGGTCAGGAAGATGCTTTGACACACTCTTCTTTTCCATACACCAATGAACCCAAGCAACAAGTGCAGGGCACTCTGCCACAATGTTGAAGTTGCCACACTGCTCATAAGCAAAGAAAAAGCTGTAAGATGGAACCAATGCCACATCCACAATGCCAAAGGTCTCTCCCCAAAAGTAAGGCCTGTCTCCAAGTTCTCCTTCCAACACCTTCAAGTACCCTATGAGGTCATTCTTTGCTGTTTCTTGGGCTTCGCCTGTGGAAAACATTAGCTACCTCCCAGCGCTATAAATTTGTATAACATATCACATGTAAATGTTGGTCAGAAGGCATAATATTTACCGATTATGATCCTCTATCTCCACTCCCCTATCCCAAAATACTCACAGTGGTTGGTTCATTGAAAAAACTATGCACCTAGATAAAGTACACTAAAAATGAAGTGTATGAAGTAAATTCAAATTTAGTGTAGTGTGAGTCATACTTAGAATAAATTTGCTCCACGCATTTCATCTTCACTTAATTTTTCTAGTATTTCTAATTATTATTATTTTTTCCCAACTAATTTGTTGAAACTGTGTGGCCTGGCACAGATTTATGCAAGGTATGGATGAGTAAAGGAGAAGATCAAGAGACAGCCAAAAGAGAACTGATAGAGATCTTTAAGTTGCTAGAGGGAGGGCTTGGTGACAAGCCTTACTTTGGTGGTGACAACTTTGGGTTGGTTGACATTGCACTTGTCCCATTTTATAGCAGGTTTTACACATTGGAGAAATTTGGGAATTTCAGCATAGAAGCAGAGTGCCCCCTTTTGGTGGCATGGGCTAAAAGGTGTATCAAAAAGGAAAGTGTGTCCAACTCTCTTCAAGACCTAGAAAAACTCTATGAGTTTGCTGTCAAGCTTAATAAGATGTTCAGAGTAGAGTAGAGTGGCCTGCCTTTGACAGTATCTATATGTTTAGTCTCCAATTGGCATGGTAATAAAGAAGTTATAGTTGCACAATTGAAGTTATTTTGATAGCATTATTGGCATGATAATCAAGGAGTTCTATTTGCACAATTGAAGTTATTTTGATAGCATGCGCTATATCGATGTTTCTATGAGTCATATAACATGTAATAACGATGTTTCTATGAGTCATACAACATGTAATAATACAGGATTCTCTGTCCTCAAATTTCTATGTCTCTCTGTCTTAATACATTCTCAATTATTAAATCATATCTTAAGCTTCACATATGCCTCAATATTCTTATATAATTCCGTAGTTGGAAGTGCATCGAGACAAGGGCCGCATGTAATAAGTGGACTACATTTGCTAGTTGTATATCAAGTTCAAATTGACATTCATATATGCATTACTGTGCTAAACTGCATAGCCATATACTCGAGGAAATGAACTACTTGTTCTTTAATTTTCATCAGTACATTTTCTTTGGACCAAAAAATGAGTAGTATCTTCAAAGGAAATAGAAGTAAAAGAGATGTTTCATTAGTTCTAGTCTTGTAATTATATTGCAATTTACAGACTTTTCCATCACAAACAGATTGGTGTTCATATAAAGTACTTGGCCGGGGGAAGAAACATTACTTGGCAGTGGGAGATTCATTGACCAACCACTTTCACTAACTTTAAGAACATGTGTAGTTGTTTGTTCAAAGCATCCACAGTAGAAATTACAGAATTATTCATCTATGAGGGCAATGCAAAATTTGTATCTCTGCATTACTTAGCAATTAGATCTTGTTTAACTTCTTCAAATACTGAACAAGATCTTCTAATATGCTTCAATAAAATGAAAGTTGTGTGAATCAGATTATTAATATCAATCAAATCAAGCATTTTTTTCAATTAAAACAACAAAAAGTTTCTTTCTTCATTTAAGGAGAAGTGATTGAGAACTCTAAAACTAGAGTTTTAATATGAATTTTAGTGATGTGATATAGAGGGGAAAAAAAACAAAACACGAAGACACAAAAAAACATGAAAAAGCAGTATAAACATTACATTACATAATAGATTCCACCATTAAAACACCTCTAGAGCCCTCAATCATTTTTGTTATTAAGTATAACATAAACAAAACATTCCTATAAGCAATAACACTCCAATTAAACACTCTTCTAGAGATTTACTTAGCCTCAAGATTCTTTTTGAGCCCCAAGAAGAAGTCAGAGAGCTTGTGGTGGTCAGGAAGTGACTTGGACACACACTCCCTTTCCATACACCTATGACCCCAAGCAACAAGTTTAGGGCACTCTGCCACAGTCCTGAAGTCGCCAAGCTGCTCAGTTGTATAGAAAAAGTTGTAAAATGGGATCAGTGCCACATCCACAAAGCCAAAGGTGTCACCCCCAAAATAAGGCTTGTCTCCAAGCTCTCCTTCCAACAGCTTCAAGCACCCAATGAGGTCATTCTTTGCTGCTTCTTGGGCTTCACCTGTGGACGACCACATCAACTTCCCACCACTATATATCTGCAGAACATACAGTAATTAAATGTTGGTAAGTAGGCGCAATATTTAAATCAATACTTAACAGTGGTTAGGTAAAACAGATATGGAAGAGTTAGGGCTCACCTTCTTGTCAACAAAATCAGCCCAGAACCTGGCTTGAGCTCGCTGGTGAGGATCACAAGGCAACAATGGAGATTTGTGGTTCCATACTTCATCGATGTACTGAACAATGATGAGTGACTCGCACACCGGTTTGCCGTTGTGGATCAACACTGGGACTTGCTTATGAACAGGGTTCATCTTGAGGAGCAGTGGACTCTTGTTGCTCTGGTCCTCTTCTCTGGACTCATACTCTACCCCTTTCTCAGCCAAGGCTATTTTCACCCTCGTCGCAAAAGGGCTAACCCAGAAGTCCAAGAGAATGACTTCGTCCGCCATTGATGATGATGTGTAAAAACTCAGTGAAGATGGAAGATTGACTGAAGAAGAAGAGAGAAGGAAGGTGGGTTTAGCGAATTGTGTGTTTAAGGTGTTTGTTTTAATGCCAAAGAAAGGAGGTTGGAGCGAGTATTAAATAGCACTCGTTCGGCAGGTACGTTGATTTGACTTTTTGGTTAAATTAATTATAGAGAGATATAATAGTATAAAAAAAAATTAATATGATACATAGTCATATTTAAATTAAAATTATTTTTTTAAAAAAAGTTTAAAAAATAAAAAAAATCAATACAAATAAAATTTTTAAAATCAAACTAAAATAATCAAAAAAAAAAATAAAAAGTCAACCTACTTCCTAAACAAAGCCATAGTATAACTTTTTGAGGATCGTTCAAAGGTTTTGTTTAGTAGAATTTTTCTTAAGTTAAAAATTAATAATCAGAAAATAAAAGTTAAAAGTATCCATTCCTCAACTTTTAATAATTACTTTTTTTCAGCTTATTTAATCAATTTATGCATAATAAACTATTAAGCAAAAACTACACCAAACAATTTGATACAAATTCTTAAATTAAAATAAGTTATAATCAACTTATAAAAGCTACAACAAACTGCCCCACTACATCATTGTTGTATTGCCCACATAACACACTAATTTTAAATTTAAATTCTACAATTTATATTTATGGTAAAATTATGAATCATTATAAAGGAAAACTAAATAATGTTAACAAGTGTCCATCTACTACTGTTTAAACAAATATTGTTGCGTGTCAAATACACTTGTTAGCAAAACCTACAATGACCCTGTTCAGTAGGGTTTATTTCTACCTTATTTTAGCTTTTAGCTTAATTTAAGTTATTTTGATATGTTTGGTTTAGCTTAACAATACAACTTATAGTTTTTTGTAAGTCAAAAATCAACTTATTGGGGAGGAGAAGCTTAATTTATAAGTAAAAAATCAACTTATGTTCACAGTTATAAGTTATAAGCTATAATCGCTTTCCCATAACTTTACCAAACGGGGCCAATGAATGTTGTAATGCTATTTTTTGTGTATTAATAATATTGTGCTTATAACTTTTTATATTATATTATATTTACCATTTTATTTGTCAATATAATGGATCTCATAATTAATATATATCTCTAAAGTTTATTTTGGGAAGTAAGTCTTTTTTGAAAAAACATAAAAAAAAAATAGAGAAATTATGTGACCCAAAAAAATTTTAAAAACTGACTTTTAACCTAGATGTCAAAATAGGCCTAATACCTTGTTAAGTTAACACACCAAATTAAATCCAAAAAAAAAAAAAAAAAACCACCAAGAAGAAGAAGAAAAAGATGTTTATGGTACCATTACTCTTGGTTTATTTGGTGGTATTGGATCCAATTTTTAAATTGCATGACTCATATTCTATTTTAAATGACGTTTGGAAAGTGATTATTTTCGTTGATTTGTTTAATTTTTTATGAAAAGACTTGCAGAATAATAGAGAGAGCGATTTGATTGGATATTTTGATTTTTTTTTGTCTATTTTAGCCAAAAAACTAACATCCCAAACGGATAATTTTCAAAAAAATAATCTAATAAATATTGGCATCGTTTGGAAATTTTGCTATTTTAGTTTACTTTTGACTATTTTATGAAATGAAAAAAATTGTTTGGGATGATTTGTGATTTTTTGTAGTTGAATAAATGGTTATAAGAGAAAAAATTATTAATTGGTGTGTAGAATGTGATATTTTGTCTTATTAATTATTTTATTTTATTTTTGTTTTTATTGGCTAGTATCTTAAAAAAATTTACTAAAACTTATATCATATGCCTGATATAAGTGTGAGACACATAGCATGTGAATCTCACACCCATATGAGACATTAGTAAAAATTTTAATAAATCTTTTGAGATCTGTAACTTTAAAACCAAATACTCAAATGTAGCTTTGGGGTTTGCTTATTTTTTGGTTTTTTTTTTCCACTTATTTTCATTTTTATTGAATTTAAAAAAAAAATAAATTTAAGCTTCTAAATTCAGCTTGATAAGAAGAATTGAAAAATTATAATTTTTTTTAAAAAAAGTCCAGAAAAGAAAAAAAAAAAGTAAATAATAGTGGATTTTTTGGGCATATATTGGCTTTTTAATTTTTTTTTTTCAAAAAAAAGTATATATTTCATATTCATCTCCACAAGATGGATAATAAAACTAAAAAATAATTAATAATTTTTTTTTAAAAAAAAGCTATTAAAAAAATTCAAAAAAAAAAGAGCTTTTTTTTTTTTTTTTTTAAAGTTGCTTTTTTTTTTGTTTTTATTCTTTATTTTTTTACCTCTTTTTTTTTCGAGGGTATAACCCCCTTTTGCTTTCTATTGATGTTTTTATTTTCACTACCATTTTCATTTATATTAAAAAAAAGTAATTTGCTTGGTATAAACCACGGTTTCATTTTATATGCATTATAAAGTAGTACAAATTCTGGGAAGAACCAAAGTTTCAGATTCGATATAGGACGACTTAGTATTTCTTCATTCATTCCCATCCAATCAAAAAATATTTTTTTTTGATTGGGTGAATTGATTTCTTGATCCTGAGGAATCGTAAGATAAAAAAGATCTTTTTTATCAATTTTATCAATTATTTGATAATTATTAGTCCCGGTTTTAGTATTTTTATTCTTGTTGGTATCGATCTTGATCCAGGCCTCAATATCGATTTTCTTTTTAAGACAAAAATGGAGAATTTTCCAATCAAAATATTTTCGATCCGGATTTTTTTCCATATACATAATATCACTTTTTCCTAAATAATTTTTGATAGGGATATCCCCTAGTATATCAAAAAATTTGCCCTTATGTTTATGTGTGTTGTAATTATAAAAACTCTCTCGATTCTTATTTACTTGGAATGGTGATCCATAAATATATGGGTCCCTCTTATTTTCATAATTAATAGATCTATAAGATAAAAGATTATATCTATAGTATTTTTGAAAATTCTCATTTTGATTTGGTAATGAATATACTTCGTAATCGTTTTGTTTTTTGTAATGAATTAATAGGTCTTTTTCATATGAATTCTCTTTGTTTAAATCTTGATTTTGAATTGTACGACATTTATTGATTCTATTTTTCCATTTTGCTGCTATTAATCTAGACCATCTAATCTGAGATAAATGGTATTGATAATGACCTCTTAACCAGTTTTTCCATTGATTTATTCCAGAATTCCGAAGTTTCTTATGTCTTAATTCATAATGAATTATTCCTTGTTTTCCAAAATAATCTTTTATTGAAGTCTTAAGAAAAAAAGACGTTCCGTGATATTGAAGAATAGATCTTAACTTATACAAGTTAAGAACTTGTGTTTGTGATATTTTGTAAAATACATATGCTTGTGACAAGGAGGATAAGTCAAAAAAATTCTGTGAATTCTTATTACTAATATTATAAAGTGACTTTTTTATAGTCGAAATAAAATTCATTTTATTTTGATTTGTTTTATTAATTCTTTTTTTATTTTTTTTATTATTGTAAATGGATTTATCAATCATTTTTTTTGTTGATTCAACAAAAAGTTGTATATTAATTCTGGGAATATTAATAATAGATAGAAGGATATCTGCGTATATCCTTTCAGTGAAAAATTTTATAAAATAATGTAATTTACGGATTAATCGAGTATTTCTTCTTTTTAATATTTGCCAATTTGGTGATTCCAATCTTTTAGCATTATAACTTGTTTTATTAGGACTATCATTTATTTCTGGAGTCACTTTTTTTTTATTTTTTGTAATTCTTTTTATTTGATTTCTGATTGTGCTTGTTCTATCAGTCAGATCTTTCATTTTTTTTTCTGTCAGTAAAAAATTTGTCCAATATGTAGATTGAATTCGACTAAAGGATTTATGAATTATATGATTGCGGGTTATAGAATCTTTTTCTTTTTTTTTTTAGTTTCGCTTGATTTATATATTTCTCTCAATCTAAATAATAGAATT